CGGGAGCGGCCACTGCACTCCAGTCTGGGCGACAGAGTGAGACTCCAACTCAAAAAAAATAAAATAAAATAAAATAAAATTGATGTCTATAACAAAACTGATTTTTTTGTGTTGGTACTTCCAACAAAATAATCGAAGCTACAAAGGCCTTATATTTTTTGTAAAACAAAATTAGACTATTTTGAACATGGTAAAAGGGACTGACTTTAATAATAAGATAGGCCAGAGACTTTAAAATAACAGTGCCTTTCACCTTAAAACATGGCACTGACCCATGTGACCTGTGCCACTTTGTGATGCTTTCCTTTACAGCTGAAGCCTATAAACAGTGGTCCCTGGAAGCAAAGAAAACAGCTTTAAGAGCTGCAGCAGTGCACTGCTATTTAGGTAGCAATTTGTTTATAAAAGTTCCCATCTGTAATTCACGACCTTCCTAAAAATACTGCCAGCCCCAATAGACAAACTCAATTTTCTGTGCACATTGGTCATGTTCCAGCCACCTCAAGGATTCTTATACACATCATTATGACTATCCCAGGGTGTGAGGACTTGATTAAAAGTAATCAAATTAAGCCGGGCTCAGTGACTCAGCCTGTAATCCCGTGCCTTTGGGAGACTGAGGTGAGTGGATTGCCTGAGCCCACGGGTTTGAGACCCGCCTGGGCAACTTGGCGAGACCTCATCTCTACAATAAATCAAAAATTGCCGGGCGTGGGAGTGCACGCCTGTAGTTCCAGCTACTTGGAAGGCTGAGGCGGAAGGATCGCCGGAGCCCAGCAGGTCAAGGCTGCGGTGGCCAGGAACGGCCACTGCACTCCAACCTGGGCGACAGAGTGAGACTCCAACTCAAAAAAAAAAAAAAAAAAAAGTAGTCAAATTAGATGTGTTTATCAGATGAGCTCAGCATTGTCATTCTTTTGATAATTGATAAAAGAAACATTTCAAAAGTGACTCCCAGTCTAAACAAAACTAGTTCAGGGGGCTTTTAGCAAAAAGGCCACTCAAGACATGAAACCAGAATGCAGATCAGCCTTCTTGTACATTTCCATGTGTTCTAATTGTTTCTGATGTTTTCCTCAAACACTGTCTCCATATCATAACTGTTCCTCTTTATCATCAGGCATAGACTCACAGATTAGTCATTATTCCTCAGACCTAAACTATTTAGTTTTTAAAATGGTTTTATTTTTTATTTTTTTTATCATAGAGATGTGGGGTACAAGTGAGGATTAACTACATAAGCAGGCTGCATGTGGGTGAAGTTTGGGCTTCTAACGCCCTCACTCCCCCTGGTGGACCAGGTAACCATTGTGCTAAATTAATTATTTCAAGTAAGTGCATGTAAAGGCCACTGCCAAGCATTCTCAGGGGCCTTTCATCTGCATAATGAGATTAGTATTCAACTGATTTGAAGCAAAGTAATATTTTTTTGTACCTTCTGTGTCTTTTCTTGGATTAATGAAGCCAATCACTTCCCCTTACCTGTTTTTGTTTTTTTACCCCAAGGATACAGAAGGAAATGTCTTCACCTTTCTGGAAATTTGTCTTTCTCCAACATATTAGATAGCCTCATATATTTTGTCTTGTTCTTATTCAGACCCTCTTGTTCTAAGGTTTGTGGAGGGACAGTCCCTAAGCTACCATGATGGTCAGCTGCTGCTTTCTGCTGGGTCTTCCCCTACTCCCACACCCATGAAGGACTGGTTGCTGATACTGCTTTATAAAGCAGAGATTCTAGCATTTTCACAAAGAGTGAAGGAAGACCTGCAACAACTCTAGAATCTTTTCACATGATGATTGTTATCAAAAAGAAATATAAACTAGACATACCTCACAGAGACACACAGAGATGCCAGGACTGAGGTTGGCTGTAGGGTGGGTTTTGGTATCACAGATGAGACCAGTGAACTCATCCTTGCCAGATGGGGTCAGTAAGACAGATTCGATTTCCATAGTTGAGCCAGAAACAAACTGTGCCTTTTAAAAAGGTGACTGGGCTGGGCACGGTGGCTCATGCCTATAATCCTAGCACTTTGGGTGGCTGAGGTGAGAGGATTGTCTGAGCCCACAGGTTTGAGATTAGCCTGGGCAACTTGGCAAGACCTCATCTCTACAATAAATCAAAAAATTAGCCAAGTGTGGTGGCACATACCTGTAGTTCCAGCCACTTGGAAGGCTGAGGCAGAAGGATCACCTGAGCCCAGCAGGTCG